GACATAGTGAGGAGTCTGTGCATGAGGCCACCTTGGGTCTGACTCAAGGTTGCCTGCAACTTTGGCCAGCAAATTGGGTTACTTTGCTGCAGTTGAGATTGTCAAGTTCTCTGACACTCAGATCAGCTTTGCATTTCCCAAGTGTGTTTTTTTTTTTTCCCCACATACGCACATGCACATAATTAAACAGTAAAAACACGTTTTTATTATATATTATTATTTACTGTTATCTTATGCAGTAAAATAAATTTTTATATGTATACATATGGGGGGTCTTAAATTTTTCTCTGCTTTGTCAGAAGGATGTGTTATTTTACTGTTGTGGAAAAAGCACTTGCTTTGTTTATACTCTAATGAGTATACTTGCATAGTTGTGTTGTGGATACGTCTAAACACGCCTGTAGTGTTCTAGTTTGATATTTAAATGCTAACAAATTAGAAATGAAAGAGCTTTGACTTGTATTTGTAACTGGATAATAAAAGTGATTTAGATGGAGTAAGCAGCTAAGAGGCTAATTATCTGGAAATGTCTGTGGCTACAGATTCCTAGGAACGTGTTAGTTACTCTCTTGACTTCTTGTCTATAACACAGAGAGGAAAATATTTTTTTTTGTATAATAAAAAAGGTGAGCATTTAACAGCCACATAAAACAGGTTATTAGAAACAGCCTTTGTATCAGGACAGTTGTCTCGTTGTGGGAGGGGATGGACACATTGTGGTATAATAAATTTCTACTCACAAGGGCAGAGCTGTCCTGGTCGTAAAAAACACAAGCTGGCAGACTTGCATTTATTATAAAATCTATGTGCAATACCTTATTGCATATATATTTTGTTAGTTCTGTTGATCTGCTGAAAGGGGCCTGGGGAAGAGATAACCTTTGTATATTTGCAAATATCAAACTACAAAGAAAACTTGAGACCATCTCATCTGGTGCCTCTTAGCTTTGTTCTAATGCAAACAGCAATACTACGTTTAATTTGAACTTTTGACTACTTGTGAATTTTTAGAGGGATTGGATTGCTTAAATTTTAGTGATGTGCCAGTTGTAGAGCTGAGAGTGTTTGGGCCTGTAGAGTAAATGTAAATCTTATGGTCTAACAAACTTGTCCACTGCAGTGGATGTTTCTACCACTGGCAGTGTGCTATTTTAGAAACATCAAGGGCCTTGTGTGTTCAGACAGCTAGTCAAGACCAGGAAGACTTTTGCTTATCTCTTTAACTTGCTATTCTTCAGGACCTAATTTTTTTTTTTTTTAAGTGAGGATGCTAACATATATTTAGAGGTCTTGACCACATAAACTATAGCTTGAATGTAAAAGTGGTAAGGGTGAAGCTGGATAAATTGCTTTTTCTTAACTGAATGTTTTTTGCAGAAACTAGCAAATTTTTTTCATGAGAGTTTATTTACATAACTGTTTTTTTTTTAATGTCTTTTTGGACATGTAATTTAACTCTTAAATTGAACAGAGTTGAGTGGAAAAAGCAAGTCTCAGAAATCTATGTACAGTTTAAAGAAATTTTATTTAAAAGGCCATTTCCAAAACAGCATTTGTAAAGGGAGTGAGCAATTCTCCTCTGCAACTCAGAGGAGTAGGACTTCTGAGTTCCAAAAAGAAATAAGACTTTTAATTTGCCCCTTGTGGACGTGGCTGTGATGTTCCAACATATTTGAATGTTGCAAAATGATGCAAACAGTAATTAAAATAAAAAAATATTGAGGAAGGGCTGAGTAACTGAAAGTGTAGCATCTACTCTGGCATGAATCTTTGAGAGCATATCTTTTCAGTACGCTTTTTATTCACTTAGTCCCACTTAATAGCACAGAATGTAGAATTTCGGTCTTGATTTTCCAAAGCAAATGATCTACTACTTCAGACTGTGGTCTAGTTAAAACATGGACTCTGGTAATTTATTGCTACTCTGTGTCAGTTGTAGAGGGGGCCAGACAGTGTTGCTGACTTTGTTTCTTAGCATGTTTATCTCTAAGATTGTGAATTACTATAATTGAGCATAAATAATTTCTCTTTGTGCTTGATGGCTGCCTCTTAATTAAGGAAGTTGGAAGAGGTCAAAAACAGTTCCTGGTATGGGCAGAGCATTTGTTAAAATAGCTAAGACTAGAGAAGTAATGCTTCCCGTATTCTTTTTGTTACTCTTCTGCATCTAGGGAAGGAGGGTGTGTTTAGTTAAGTTTCCATGGTATACATATGAAGGAGGAAGCATTGTTGGATCTTGTGCAACAGCCATCGAGACACCTCTTTCCCATTTGCACTTGCAGTTGCTGACTCGGATCATTCTTTATCATCTAACCACGCACCTTGTTGACAGACTGGTAACTGAATGAATTCCATGCTGATTGCAAAACCACCGCGATGTAAGAAGAGATTATGGTGAACAACATCAGGTTTTCTGTTGTGTCTTCATTGATTTAAATTGAGGCACTGATGCTATCGGACAGTTTGGGCCCCTCCAGAATTTCATGTAGACTGCACTGGTCTGATAATTCTTTCCCTCCTTTGATGGTGACCTGAAAGCCTATGTGATTGAAACTTCATCTGTTTCAGAGGAGCTTCTTGCCAACAGGGAAATGCAGCAGAGCTGTGGATTGCTGCCTGCTCTGGGATTTTGGCAATGCTGACCTCAGCCTTCTCAGAGAGATAGGTTAGTCGCATCTGCTGTAAAGACTGGTGGCTGCCTGTTTGGATCTGTCTACCAAGACTAAATTCTACTTCTCTGAAGTCATCATCCATACACACAGATGACTAGAATTACTGCTCGTTTAGCAGAGGATTTCCTTAATTGCCTTGTGATATCATCTTTAATCTTGTTGTAAGATGTCATGTTTAGGCCTGTCGCAGGCAGTTCTTTGAACCTACTTTCATTAGCTATGATGATAGGAGGAATCAAACTGAGACAGAGCACTGGACAGAGTATGTGAAAGTATGAAATCTTTACAATGATGATAAAGTTACCTTAAAAGAGAGGAATTTTCTGTTGAAGTTTAGGATGTATTGGGACAGTGCAGTTTACTGAGGATCAAATCTACTTGATTGATAATGCCAAAACATAGCTTACCTGGGGTTTTTGTTTGTTTTGGTTTTGTTTGGGGTTTTGTTTTATTTTAGTGATTCACTCTCTGTACAAGTAGCAGTTGATAATATTTTTATATTTTCAAGACAACTGATCATCTGACAATGGTTGTGGATGTAAAGGGTTTTCAACCAAGATTGCTAGCTTTGTGGCCTGTTTTTTGTGGAATACAATTTGGTTCTCTGTAGTTGGCCTGTCTGGTACCTTGAACTATTCCATGCAGGATGCTTGTGTGGGTTTCTAGATACAAATTCACAAGATAGTACATGCTGAAATATCTCTGATATAAAAATGTGATAAGGTGGTTTCTGTTCTGCATCATGGTGGAAGAGTTCAGGAACCCTCTGCAAGCTTGTGAAGTCCAATGTTTGCATGTAGGCAAAGCAACCTATGAAAGTCAGTAAAAAAGCTGAAGGTTAACATTAACACTGACTGGCTCTCCTAAGCTTTGTCAGACCACTGTTCACTGAAAAATTCTGCCTTCCTGTCAGCAGACATTTTGATGGTGCCTGTGTCTCGCACAGATTGGGCTGTTCGATTGCAAGCGGTTGCTAGGATAGTAAAAAAGGATAGCAGAATCCCACTGTGGAATTGATCACCATTGAATATGATGAGTGACAGTATAGAAGATGAAAAATAGCAAGTATCAAAAGATGTCTTTGTTTTAAAAATAGTTCCTTAATGCAAATATACCCAGATTCATTCATATTTGGAATTAAGCAGTTGCACTGATGAAGGTTACACTGTGTTTTTTTAAAAAAAAAGTTTTGCATGTTTTCGTGAAGGAGATTATTATAATTTACAGTCAACATGTTTTACCCTTCTCTTAATTGTCTGCTGGTGGCAGTACAGCTGTCTTTATAATAAAAAGTAACATGACTTGGTAGCAGCACAATAGCAGATTGAGGCAGTTGGTGCTCAGGCCCATCTGTCTGCTTAACACACTGTTTGCATCGTCTACTTCAGACTAAATTTAATGTGGCTTTTTGGACCAAATATTCGTATCACACTTATGAGTCAGCACTGTCTGAAGGACTACTGATTGATCTTGACCTGTCTGTTTGCATTTAGCAGGCCGGGTGCAGTTTTTGAGCACATGAAGCAGAACTTTTGGAAAGAAACTAATTTCCATTCCCTCTGAGAGGAATCTAGTTCAATTGCCCAGAACTGTACTGTAACCCGTACCAACCCAAGGGAGAAGGGAGTGATTCACTACGAAAACCCAGGATGCTTTTCTGAATTAAAATGTTCTGGAGGCAGTCATGATGCTGTAGAATAGTCCCTCTGTAGCCATGAATAAATAAATCTTTAATAAACATAAACCTTTGTGTTTATTAAATTTAATAAAACAAATTAAAATTCTGTCCCTGTCTGGCCCCTTTGTGAATGAGGAGATAAAAATCAAGTTAGGAGTACAGTAGAGATCTGTAAGGTAGGATGTTGTGTTTGTCAGTAGGGTTCCTCTAGAAGCTTGGTGTGTTCACTCTACCAAATATTTTGGTGGAAAAAAAGATTTGCTTAAGGGTGGATATTAGCCTCTCCTTTTTAGTGTTGCTCGTGCTTGCTAATGTCTATAATTCTGGGAGTAGGGCTTCTGGGTTTTTGCATTTCTGTTTATATTATAAGGGCAAAAGTATTGCAATGCAGAACAGTGGCCAGAAGTATTTTTTGTTGATTTGTTTTGTTTTGTTTTTCCCTTGTCAGTTTAGAACATAATAGAAGTCATAATAATTTTGTATGCTTTAATGTGGATGAAACTGGGGCTTAGCTTTTCGGCAGGGATATGTTGTGTAGGTGTTGGAGAAGACTTACCATGTCTGTGGAACGTGGCAGTTATCACAGTGTTTCATGTACGTTTTAAGAGTGTTTAATGTTAAATACAATCAAGGTGTCTTTTGTATTTTAGGAAGCTGAATATGGTGGACACGATCAAATTGATTTATATGATGATGTAATTTCTCCATCTGCAAATAATGGAGATGCCCCAGAAGATCGAGATTACATGGATTCTCTTCCACCGTCTGTTGGGGATGATGTAGGTAAAGGAGCTGCACCAAATGTTGTCTATACGTATACTGGAAAGAGAATTGCCTTATACATTGGAAATCTTACTTGGGTAAGTATCTTATTACTATTTAGGTGTAACCAGGAATTTAAAAATTATGGATGTAACTCTTTGTAAATATTTCTAGCTTAAAAAATGTTTCATATGAAATATTTAGAGTACAGCAAAGCAGGTGGTTTTTTGTGTGTGGTTTTTGTTTGTTTGTTTGTCTTTTTTTTTTTTACCTGAAATTTAGTGAGCCTTACTGGAGGTGTCTTGATGTCTAAAAAAATCAAGGAAATCTTCAGTCAATATAAACTTTAAAGTTTTCTTTCATAGAACCATAGAATGGTTAGGGTTGGAAAGGACCTTAAAGATCATCAAGTTCCAGCCCCCCTGCCACGGGCAGGGACACCCTCCACTAGCCCAGGTTGCTCAAAGCCTCATCCAGCCTGGCCTTGAACACCTCCAGGGATGGGGCATCCACACTTTCCCTGGGCAACCTGTTCCAGGGCCTCAGCACCCTCACAGTGAAAAATTTCTTCCTAATGTCTAGTCTAAATCTACCCTCTTTCAGCTTATACCCATTACCCCTTGTCCTCTCACTACACTCCCTGA